CAAATCCCACATGACCAGACCCGGGATCGAATCCGGGGCGCCGCGGTTGGAAGCCAGCGACTAACCGCTTGAGCTATGGCGCGGCCCTATACCCAATCATAGTTTGATCAATAAGACTGGTTCCCTATTTCCAGTTTGTAAATCTTCTTAAAATTTTCGTGGGATACCGAAATTCGTTCGAAGTGGTTTGACAGTGATAGGAATATTTTGAATTACGTGATAGGGAATTGTTAACATTTCAAATGTGGTATTCCTGATCAGCACACCTGAATGACCGGAAGGCAGGACGGAAGGGGCGGAGGCGGAGGTGTATGCCATGTGGTCAATAAAGATGATAAAAGATGGCTGGTGTAGTGTCGCAACTGGACGTTGAACAATTGTTTTTCACAGCTATTGGATTGAAAACAAGTCGTTGATACCGATAAGTTGTTACTCGAAGCTTCCACATTGAGATAAATGGTATCCTCAGAAGTGAGAATTTATTTTAGAGCTAATGTGTTAACTTTCCCGATTGTTTTGTGTCACATACCGTTACATAAAACCTCACAGTAACTTACGTAACAGTCCACATACTTTTCGTACCACTTTGAATACTGTAGAAATTTGATATGATTAAGTTACAAAGTTAAAATCATCTGTAATTATGGAGGAATTGAGATGAACCGGAATTTGTTTCAAAGCAGGCCTTTGCATGCTAAACTATTAGACTACCAGAAGGGTTCCATCGTATGGGATAAGACTCCGTAGTCCTGCGAGAATAAATCCAAAGTTTTAGAAGCTTTCTTCCAGCTTTATGCTGGTTTCGTGCTTGGTTCACTGTTCATCCCCGAAGACAGAGGCTATATGTTCCTCCAAAACGTCGGTTGCCTTTCACTGTACCATACACCCTCATGTCCCAGAAGATAGAACTGTTCATAACCACAGCTATGAGAACCTCAGATCCAACATATCAGATACTTAACTCATGTCTGGTTTAAAATGTTGAACTGTACATGGGTATGTTACTAAAGGAATTGTGAGACGTAACAGTCATCTAAACGATAGACCAAGTAGTGACAGAGTGTTCATGTTAACTGTGTTAGCCTGGCTAACATGTTCAAAAATAAAAGATGTAGCTTTATACAGTGACAGGAGAAATGGCATTTTTTGCCACCTCAAACAGCATATCATATGCATTATTAGCTAACACTGTCAGTCTTACACTAGCTGTTGGTGAGTGCAGGTCCAATTAGAAGAGACATGATGTAGTATAGGTGTGCGGGAAGGGGGTCGTGCATAATATTCCATGATGTCATGTTAGTGAAACAGAATGTTAACACATTTCATATGCTTGCATGCTTACAGAGGGTTAGAGCACTTTCTCTATATCTTGGGGTTTAGGTGACAACTGAAAAGTTGCATTTCAGCACTGAGACCAAGTGTGTGCCACTGTTAGCAATAAAGTAATTTTTAATGTAACCTTACCAGTTTGTAGTCACCATCTTTCATTGCTATAAATCCAGGGGACATAGATATGTTTTTACAAGTATTTGTTATAATTTGAGGTTTGAGGTTTTCACAGCTCTGAAGATTTGTATTGTGGTCACCTGTCTTATGACTTTCTTGTTGTATGTTTTCCTATTTATAGCAAACATAAAAATAATTATTTTATCATTACTTACTTACTCATGGTGCTGAGCCCTTCTTGAGGAGCTGCCAATTCTGCAGCTACTCAAGAATTTCCCAGCATTTTATGGAACCTGAAGATTCGTTACCATGTTCACAAGAGCCCTTGACTGGTCCCTATCCTGACTCAGATCAATCTAATCCATAGCAACCCAACCTCTCTCCCTAAGATCCATTTTAATATTGTCCACCCACCTACGCCTTGGTTTCCCTTAATATCAGAGACCAAGTTTCACACCCATACAGAACCACAGGCAAAATTATAGTTATGTATATTCTAATTTTTATGTTTTTGGACAGCAGATTAGAAGACAAAAGGTTCTGGACTGAATAGTAGCAAGCATTACCCAAGTTCAGTCTCTTAATTTCCTCCTGAATCAGGTTTTGATGTGTTATCATTGTTCCCAATTATCTGAATTGTGCCACATTTTCAAAAGATCTGTTTCCTATCTTTATATCATGATGTTACCCTGCATTTTGGTGACGAGACAGCAACATATACTGTTTTCTCTGTGTTTACTTCTAGACCAACCTCTTTACTTGCGTCAATTAAAGTTTGTGTGTTTTTCTTTGTGGTATCTACATTATCACCCAGTAGATTCACATCATCGACATAGGCCAACAGCTGATGTGTCCTGTTTAATTTCAGTCCCACTTCGTTTTCCTGGACCTTCCTAATGGCATATTCTAAAGCAAAGTTGAAAAGGAGTGGCGATAAAGCATCTTGTTTTCATTCTGGATAGGAAACTTATCAGACAAATGTTTACCTACACAGATTTTACTATACATTTCATTTAAACACATTTTAATCAACCTAACTAGTTTCATGGGTATTCCAAACTCTTTGAGAATATTGTACAATACTTCCCTCCTAACTGAATCATAGGCTTTCTTGAAGTCTTTGAATAGCTGTCTCATCGTACTCCAATTTTTTCTCCAATATCTGACGAATGCAAAAGATCTGATCTGTAGTTGATCTGTTGCGTCGGAACCCACACTGATGATCCCCAACGATTTCATCTATATATGGACTTAACCTTGAGAGAAGAATATTGGATACAATTTTGTATGAAGTTGATAGCAGTGATATCCCTTGATAATTACTAGAGTCAGTTTTATTACCCTTCTTGTGAACTGCTACAATAATAGTCTCCTTCCACTGATCAGGCGATTTTTCATTTTGCGAAATAGAAATGATTAACTTATGGACCTTAGAGCGTAATATTTCACTCCTGCTTGAATATGTTGTGCCGGAATTTGATCACTACTTGGCAGTTTATACCGTTTCAATTTTGCAATAGCACTTTCAACCTCAAAAGGGCTATGATCAGGTACTAAGGGCTGAGCTGTATGGAATTCTGTCTAACATCATTGTCCCTATGTACAGTCAATAACTGAGAGAAGTAGTTCTTCCACCAGTTCAAAATGTTGTGGGAATCTGCAAGCAGATCACTGTTCTCATCCTTCACCAAGTTGCTGCTAGGCTGGTAACCCGTTTTAAAGTCATTTATTCCTTTATACAGGTCTCTAGTGTTCTTGTTCTTACTGTTCATTGCAAGCTCAACAATTTTGTCTTTCAGATGTTCCCTTTTTTAATTCCTGAAATGCCTGCTGGTTTCACATCTTATATTGTTCAGATTATCACCACTTATTTCGCTTTGATCCTGTAACCATTGCTATTTGGCTTGTTTTCTTTGGTCTAGTAATTCTGAGCATCCTTCATCGAGCCATGACTTGTGCTTCTTCAGTTCATAATAACCTAGACTCTCCTTGGCAGACATTTTTATATTCTCTCTAATAGTTTCCCAAGCTTTATTAACATCCACCTCAGTTTCCAAGTTTTGCAAAGCCGCAAACCCATTTGAGATTTCAACGCGATACTGCTCTTTACTCTCTACCTCATTTAATTTCTTGAGATTGAACCTTTCCATATGAACTCTGTGGATTGTTTGGTTGCTCACTGCCAGTCTTTCCCCAACCTTTGCCACCAGCCGGTAGTGGTCAGTATCACAATCTGCTGCCCTGAATGATTGGATATCAAGTATACTTGAATGCCCTCTCCTGTCTTATCAAAATATTGCCAATTTGATTGTGTGTCTTCCCATCAGGAGATGTCCAAATAAATTTATGGATGTTACGATGTGGGAACATTGTACTTTTGACAGTAAGATTTTTCGATTTGGCAAAGTTTACTGCTCTAACTCCATTATCATTAATAATTTCATGCAGACTCACATTCCCAATTGTTGGTTTGAAAATGTCTTCCCTCCCTACTTTAGTATTGAAATCTCCTAACAAAATTTTTAATAGGGTACTTTGGGAATTTATCAAGTACATATTCTAGTTCTTCATAGAACCTGGCCTTTATGTCATCAATTTTATGTTCTTTTGGGCTGTGAACATTGATGATGATGATTTAACACCAGCGACCTTTTAGTATTATATTAGTATATGATGTCCTATCACTAACGAACTCTACCCTCTAAACTGCTGATATGATTCTTATGTGTATGAAAAAATCTGTACCCAATTCGTGATTTTCGTTCCCCTCTCCATAGAAAAATGTATATTCGCCTGCTGGTGTGATGCCACGTCAGTCCTGTCTGATCTCCTGTACCCCCACTAAATCTAACTTATATTTTAAGATTTCTTCCACCACTGCCCTGAGTGAACCTGCCCTGTACATACTTCTAACTTTCCAGGTAGCAAATCTCATATCCATTTTCTTTAGCTGAGGTTGTTTATCCAGAGGATCTGTCCAGGTCCGAGGCTTTGTGTTCATTTTCATAACATGATTAGTTTTTATGGTGAGGAGTTGTTAGCCCCACTCCCAATGCCCAAGCTGGAGGACCACCCCTTGTCGGCCGTATGTGACTGCTTATTCAATATATTCGCAGCTTCCCTCCAAATCTGGAGGGTGCCTTCTCCATCTGCAACCTGAGGACATGCCATGCCGTGGTGATAAGGGACTCACCTATTATATTTTATAAATTTTGAATTACATCACAGATGATGTAATGTAAGCATTTCTACAGTCACCAACCAAAGATCCCATTTTAATCTAACCAGATATAGTGATATGTCATATTACTGGTTATGATGACAGAGTTTTTGGCTGTACTCTGCCTGTACAGGAAGATCAGGTCACAGCTTCCTTTTAGAACTTTCATTACATGTTGTAAATTAGAGATCATCTTTCACTCTGTACCACATAACTCCTGCAGCTGACAAGCACCTTTGAATAAAAATAACCACTTCATTGAAGGATAGCTTTTTGACTGTAACCTGGGTGCCAAAAATTATTCCTTCAAGGTTAATGTAGGTGAAGAAGCAATGATAATTCAATGTATTTTCTTTCTCCCTTCCATGCTTCTGTCACTTCTGGATTACTGGTTAGCAACAGCCTATCCTTGGCTGAGGAGTGCTGCTTCTTAATCCTGTTACAAATGTATAATCACTCTGTGTAAACAACGAAAGCAGTGTGCCAAGATTCAAAAAGGTGCTGAAGATGGTATCATGTACTTACCACAGTAATGCTCATGTGTGCACATGAACACACATATATGCACACATACTTGGTTGAGGTTGATGTGAAGAAATTCAGGGTGAGTAATTTCAAAATATATTAGTTTAAAACAGAACTTTGAAATAATCTAGTAAACTTTAACTGTACTTTGATTTGTTTCATTCTGGTCCCGTCACACTAACAATTACAAAGAAACAACTCCATCCAGTGTGACTATTCAAGTTTTTATTACTTGAAAACGTAGCACCCTTACATGTTTCGGTCCTTACGGACCATCTTCAGAGGGAACATCAATACTTATTTGGAAACTACTATCACAATGGGTGGTCTGAGTGCTAAAATACATACACACGCAATGCCTGGAATCACAATATACATAAAATAATGAGAAGGAGATTCTTGGTATCGTCCTGTGTTTGTTCATGGCATGCTGTGTTGTGATAGACAGGTGGCACAAGTTCAGCCCCCATCAAGAAAGATGATAAGAGAAGGGGCACGAACCTACTTGGTTTATAAATTTTAACTTAAACAACAAAGTTTTAAAAACTTTAATATACCAGGAAAGCTGCTGTGATTGTGAAAAAATTGGATTTTATATTGTTTTATCTTTTTAATTTTACCTTGAGATACAGGATTCCCACTAAGACATTTGTGGGACCTGTCCATGAACATGTAGAACAGATGAGCAAACTTATAGATGATAGTAAAGGATGACCAATGACTAGTAGCATGAATTCTGATGATTGACCAACCGTTTGCCTCATGGTCTGCATAGGGACAGTACCTTACTGACTCCTGCCACTTTTCCCCACATGGCCCAGGCTGAGACAGTTGACAGCGTTTGTATAAATACGTTGTGTGAACACAACACTGGACAGACTGGACAGTCTCAGCACTGTTTGACAGATTTTCCACATTGATACAGCTGATCACTGAATATCATTGAAACCTTTGAACCTTCAAAGCAGATTACAGACCTCCAGCATCAGGTATCACAGTGAGCTCTATCATATCCTAGCCCAGTATCAGATGTGGTTGTAAGAAATTTAACTATTGTCCACCTATGTTACAACCAAGATAGGTAAAGGATGATTATGTGGAAGGACTTACTCAGGAGGGGGCACGCGGTAGCGTAGTTGGTTGAGGCACTATGCTACAGGTTGGAAGGTTGTGGATTGAAGTCCCAATGAGGTCATTGGGTATTTTCAATTGACCTAATCCTTCCAGCTGCACTATGACCCTGGGGTCGACTCAGCCTCTAACATAAATGAGTACCAGGAATATTCTTGGGGGTAAAGGGCGGCCGGCATGTAAGGCTGAAAACCTCACCGCCATCTATGAGCCGATTGTCTAGAAAATGTGGAAACCTCAACATCTCACAACCCTATGAGTCTCTTCGGCCTGTTACAGGGATACTTTTACTTTACTTTACTTTACTTACTCAGGAAGGTATATAAGGGATATAGCTTGTAAAGGTCTTCCATGATTTCTTCGGCAGTAAATGGAAATGAGTAGGCACTTTCATCCATCAGCCACCCACGCTTCATGAAGAATCATAGTATGCATTAGATAGGGCTCTAGGTGGGCTAAAAAGCTATTTTGGACCTGATGGTGAGAAGAAATTCTAACCTCCTGGTTGGTTGGTTTCCAATGGCTGCCTTTGGGATGATTTAATCCATTTTGCTTCTTGCTTCCCAATAGAGAGTTTCCTTTTGGGAAGCTTTGTCAGGTTTGTTGCTCATTTTGCACTACCCAGGGGACATGTATGACTTACAGAATGTCACGGACCCAAGCAACTTTGTCCGCCTTTGTGACATCCTTGTTAGGAACAAACTCTGGACTTAGGTTTTTATCCAGGTACTATTTTTTAGGAAACTCAACTCCTTAAATAGTATTGTAATATTGTTCTTTTTATTTCAGGGCATTTTGGTCATGACAGTCAGTCGTCATGAACAGTGGCAGAGGAAGAAAGATGGTCCCAGTGGTGCGGCCAAGCAAGATGGTGGAATTAGTGAATTACTGGGGCAGCAGCAGCAAGATTAACAGTGAAGGAAGCCACAGCCATGTGGAGTATATTATGACCAAAGATGAAGAAGATGGAAGAGTTGGTGCAGCGCGTGCCTTGGATGATGTACATAATAAACTTCCAAGAATCCAGGAATTGCCCATACCAGAAAATTTTTCTCAGGATTGTGATGAAGAGAGAAAATATGAACACAATGCTCAAATTACTGAACAATGTGCAGGTATTGTATGATGTTGTATTTTAATATTATAAAAAGAAAAGACTGAATGTAAACCAGTATTTTAATTATTAAATTTGAATACCGAATATGTGAAGTCAGTCACAGTGACCATATTGTCTAATCTGCATATGATCTTGAACTGCTCAGGGGTACAGACCCATTTGGAGCATGGTTGTATGTTTATATTTTTTTCCTTATCTCTGCAGGTAGAGATTTGGCCAAGGAGTTACACAAAATGCCTAAAAGATTCATGCATTCAGAATTAATTCTCAATCAGAATAGACAGTAGGACCATTTGCATGACAGCCGAGCGGATTCTTATCATAAAATGCTATGTAAATAAGATGTATTCATTCATTTTTTAAATCGAACAATAAAGCTTTTAGTGTTATGTAATAGTGAATAGTTGCATGTGAATTTAATGTTTGTTTGTTATATGAGAAGAGTTAATTGTATGCTTAATTATTTCATTTATAATTCTTTCTGCCAAATGCATCTGCTAATTGTATAATTTGTACTTTAACAATGTTGTTTATGATCTATTTTCTGTGTACTCTTAAATGCTGTAGCATTCCTGATAATTGTAGTGTATGTTGAAAATGCATCAAATGGGAAACACTAAATGAATGCTGAGCTGCACTGAGAAGGAGCAGGAAGGTTATGTCTGAATCAAATACACTGCCAGCACAAGTTAGTGGGCATGCTTCTACATGGCCATAGACAGGATATTAGTGCTCTTCATTATACTGATAGAAAACTGCTGATAGGCAAAAACATGAAAAACAGAAGGACATATGGTGAGAACCACCTGTAATGTTTAGCTTTTGACTGCTGTATTTAGTTATTACTACTCTGTTGTCATATGTTAGTGACTAGACACCAGGTTTTGATTCATAGTGGGATCCATTGAAGGCTTGTAACTCGTAACTACAAGTGACTGTAACAGTCTCACTGATTTATACACTATGAATCTATGTTGTTATGATATGGCTTGATTTAATGTTACACCATGTATCTTTTTATGTTTTGTATGAGATTGTATCAGTTTGACGAGCTCTATATCCTATGGGTGCTAAAGCCCCTGTACAGGATTTGTTGTAACCGTTTTTCTTTGGTTCTGCCAGCCCCGGTAGAGCAATTCGATTCCTCTCAGGGCGTGTTGATTGGCCATGACTTGGGTGATTAGTGGGGCTTTAGGCGTAGGGAAATCACCACAACACCAATTAACTGTATGGAGTCTTTATTAAATTTGCACTAATTAAATAGAAATGGCCCGTATTGGTACCCTTCACAGATTCGTGGATGTAGGCTTACTTACTGTTCTGGGGACACACACTTAATAGTTACCACAGGGCGTGTTTACGGGGATCCAAACACGTGTACCCCCGGTGAACGTAACTTTCAAAAGTCCCTTTGCCAAGCACCCCCTGAATGGTAAATACTTGCCCTGGTTACCCCAAAATTCGGGCAAAGGACCTCCCACTTCAGACGATGATTGGCTGGACCGGGCAGACTGGGAGGTTGCTTATCATTCTCCTCCAATTAAGAAAGCGAATCTCCACTAGTGTACAGTTTAGGGGTGAACTTTGCCACCTGCTGCGTGGCTGTCAAACTGAGATTTTGGGTTAGCAGGAAAGGACGCTGCTAAATTTATGACTCCCCCTGTCAAGTTTAGAATTTCTAAAGAACTCGGCCTTGTTACGCATTAAATCAACTGATTTACGAAAGGGCAGCTGGCTTCAAGCTTGACCCAAGCCACTTGCTGCATGTCTCAAGGGGGAAAATTCCAAATTGTGAGGCAAAAGTGAGGAATTTCACAAAACCCTAACCATACACAAACATCAATTGACCTTCCCATAAACTGGACAGTTACATTGTGGAGTTATTTAATAACAATAAACAATAAACAATTAAAGGTCATTTTACAGGCACATGTGACAGTATCTCCAGGAATGATCAGTTTCACATTCTTTGCTGTCTTTCAAACTGTACTGTAATGGAGTGAATGATGCTGAATGTTAGGTCAAAGTTGGTAGTCGTATTCAGACAGAATATGCAGGAGACTGTCTTAACATTCTGAAATGTTACAGAACCCTTACATGTGCTTCATAAACCAGCAGTGCCTGAAAAGATAGCTATTGAAAGTGAGAGAGAGTTGTCTCCAAATGAGGAAGGACATAAAGGAAGATGGAAGAAGAAGAAAAGAAGACACCGGTAAAGTGATTTATATGCTGTAGTGGACAGGATTAAATTAAAGAATTTTATGGGTCACTGCACTCAAAACGGATATTGTTTAGCCAGCTTCTAAAATGTTGCATTTTAAGTATATTTTTGAAAGATGATTGGTAAACTGACAGAAGAACATTTTATTTATATATACCAGTATATTTCAGAACATGGTGAAAATTTCAGAATAAGCAAGAAATTAATTTCTTTTTATTGTAACTGCATTGGTTTCCTATAAACAGTGAAGCCTCTATGTAAAGAAATGCAGGGGACCCACATTCTTGAACATGTATATGGAAGATTTGAAACAGATGTAGAATCAGCTTTTTTAATTCAGTTCATAATAAAATAGTTTAAGCTTTTATTAATTTTTTTATGCCTGACACAACACCAAATGTGTAAATATTATGTAATGTCCTAGAGCATTTTGAAAAAAAATCAGCCTTAGGTCTTTTTCTTTCTCTGAGTGTCTTATGCCCTATGAGCTACCCCAATTGTGTCTGTGTTTATTATAATGTTTATTGTTTTCTGGAACAGTAATTGTCTCACCATCAGCAGCAACTTATAATTTTGATGTCAGTTTGTCTTGTCCACTACTGTTTCACTGTTGTACCAGTGCTTTGTCCTCTTCTTTCTTCTTTCACTGAATTGACTTCTGGTCTTTGTTAGGCTGCGCTCAGCTGGACCCATGGCCCTGTGCTTAACATCATAATCACATGATTCATGTAAATATAACAAACTCCAAGGTACAGATATTTCTATGGGTAATAGATACTGAAATTGACTTCACTGATGAAGGTAATCCTTGGTGTGGTTACACCCAGAGATTCCTTGCCATGATCTCAAAAGCCTGTTGCTGGACCTAGTGAAATTGAAAATTGTGGTAGTGAAATGATGCCAACCCAGAAACATATTTTCTTCAAGCACATGTCCCATTACTACATAGTACTGTTACTGTCATGTTGGTGCACTGCCTTTATAGAACTTGACATAGCTAAAATCTACCATCTAAATGATCCATGGTACTCAGCTGCTATCATCTCATGCATGTAAATTGGAAATTCAAAATTCAGGTACATTCATTTGTGTATATATATGTTTTCCTATAGAGTTACAATTTGCACAACAAATTGCAAATATGAGGTGGTTCGACAAATAGCCATGAAGCTAGGAATGATGGATGTGTGTGAAGATGACTCATGGAATCTCTACTGGACCGATACATCAGTATCAATTGAGAGAGTCAAAGAAATGAAAAGATTCCAGGTAACTGTGATGATATTTTGGGGTGTAACTTTCCTCTCATTCTTCACCTTATTGTGAGATAACTTTAATTTTTGAGATGGACAGGTATTATAAATATCTTAGTTTACATCATGTAAAAATCCAGAGTTCTGTCTACAGTTGACACAGTTTTTGTTGATTTTACATGGATAACCTGTTCATGGTAGAAATGTAACATATGAGAGATAATATTTCATGTTATGACTGTTCTGTATTCAGTCAGTTCCACTAAATTTTGAACCTGGATATGTGGTTACTCTTTAATTTACTGTTGCTACTGTCCCATAGCTCAGACAGTTAGACACTGACTTCTCAATGCAAAAATCTGGATTCAATCCCAGGTGCTTCATATGAAATTCATAGTGTCTCTGTCCCCCCCCCATCAAATCATTATTTCACCCATGATCTATGCTCGTTTATCTCTGCTGTCTGAAGTATGTGATACACTTCACCAGGCCGGATGTTGTCATATCTTCAATCTTTAAGTTGGGGGCTTCATTTTTGACTTGGCACTTGGCTGATTACAGAGTAAGTAAGCAAGTTTTCAGATATAAACACTGGTTAGAAACTTTGAAGCACATTAAGACTGATAATTATTTCTCATACAGTGATTGCCAAATATGCTTCAGATGTGCATGCCATTATGTCTAATTGAAACTCTTGATATGGAATAATTTCACTGAACACCAACACAATTCGTTACACTGCATGTATTTTCAATATTTTTTTTTTCAAACATGTTATCATAACTCACTGCAGGAGACAAAATAGGAATACTGTCACTAGATATTTCAGCATATTTTCTTTTATGAGAGGTTTTGCTACTGGCTTTTCTTATGGTAATTCTGTAAACCATAATGTGCTGTTACGTGGTGCTAAAGCTCTCGCTGAACCTCAGTGAGTGGAAATGTCTGTAACAGTGTATGCATGCAGTCCAACTGGATGGGCATTGCATTTGTTTGATGTTTAACACTGTTTACCCAAGTTAATATCTAGCTGTCTGCTCAACCGTATTGGGGGTCATAAATCCACAATTCCTGGATGATAAAGGTGAAAACCCAGAATTTGATTAAATGTGTGATAATAATTTTGTGTCTGAATTTTAACATATGTATTGTATGAACTACACATGTAATATTCCCGATGTTAAAAGTACGTGAAGAATGCTTTCTTCTGGGATGTGGCGCCAACGTTTTGGAGGAACGTATTGCCTCCATCTTCAGGTAAAAAAATCTGTGAGCGAGAAACCAGCGTGAGCAGGTGGCTGCAGTGATACGTTCCTTTGAATGTCAGCTTTCACAAGACATACATGGCGCCACATCCCAGAAGACAGCATTCTTCATAATCACCGCATTGAACACCTCAAATCTTACATTAAAAATACATGTTTAAAATATGTCATTTATTGTCATATCCTGTTACTGTTAGATGAATGGGCACTTGAACCTACAATTTCTGCAGTAATACCCGCCTACAGTATATGCCCAGAATCCCATGTAGCCTTAGCATTTTAGTCACTTATTGTATAGTTGTGAGCCCAGGGGTTAAACCCTGTGGCTATCTTATTTTTGCATAATGCTGCATAAATAAGGTGGATCATATTTTTCACTTCCATTCTAAAATTAGGTCACTTGGTATGTGGAGAGTTATGGGTATGTTTGCCATCTTACAATGCAGTCCTACCAGTCCATAAGTGTCGTGTTTGTACAGGAAGCAGTGCTCTAATAGCATAACCTGTAATTACTCATGAAGGCTTCAAAATTTGCAGGTCCTCATTTGTTTAAATTACAGGGTCTTATATTCGTTAGTGATAGGATATCATATATAATACTAAAAGGTCGCTGGTATGATATCATTGTTATGAATGTTCATGCCCCAGCAGAAGATTTAAGGGGCGATTGAACTCGGGTAATACTTGCTACCATTCAGTCTAGAACCTTTTGTCTCCTCATCTGCTGTCCAAAAGCATAAAAATTAGAATATACAAAACTATAATTTTGTATGTGGTTGTGTAGGGGTGTGAAACTTGGTCTGTGACATTAAGGGAGGAACATAGACTGAGGGTGTTTCAGAACAGGGTGTTGAGGAGAATATTTGGACCGAAGAGAGATGAAGTGACAGGAGGTTGGAGAAAACTGCATAATGAGGTGCTTCATAACTTTTACTCTTCTCCAAGTATAATTAGAATGATCAAGTCAAGGAAGATGAGGTGGGCAGGTCATGTAGCAGGAACGCGTATAGGATATTGGTGGGAAAGCCAGAAGGAAAGAGGCCACAGGGAAGACCAAGGCATAGGTGGATGGACAATATTAGAATGGATCTTAGAGAGATAGGATGGGATGGTATGGATTGGATAGATCTGGCTCAGGATAGGGACCAGTGGTGGGCTCTTGTGAACACAGTAATGAACCTTCGGGTTCGTAAATGCTGGGAAATTCTTGAGTAGCTGCGGAATTGGCGGCTCCTCCAGAAGGGCTCAGGTCCATGAGTAAGACTACCAAAACTCATATATTAAAAGCCCTTTGTTTTATTATATAAATATTGTTGTATGGGCTGACAAACCTTTGGATTTTTCAGAAAATAAATCACTTCCCAGGCATGTCGGAGATTTGTCGTAAGGATCTGCTGGCTCGCAATCTTAACCGCATGTTTAAAATGTTTCCCAATGAATATAATTTCTTCCCTAAAACTTGGTGTCTTCCAGCCGAGTAAGTGTATGATGCATGTATTTTAATCTCGCATAAGAGAAGGCATGTCATGCACTGTCATGTATATGCATGTACGCAGACTTTTTAGCCATGCATGTCAGTTTTATTGGTGGGAAGTTGGGCAATTGGAGGTCATTGAAGCATCTCAACATTATATCATTTTCTTTCTTTGAGATACTTGCACACAGATTGTTAAGCTGAAATTGCTAATTTCTTGCTATTTGTTTCTTTATTATTTTTATTATCGAATTTGTTGAAAAATTTGTTGAAGCACTTGTCTCTAAAGGTTTGTTGTGCTGTAGCCATTATCCCTAATAATACTAATTGTTCATAGCAGCGATTTATTTTCTTGATCTGAATGCAAGTATTTGTTCCATGCAAAGTGTTAGAAGTCACTGACTTATAAATTTATAAAAGATCCATGTAATTTTAGACTACCACTATACATATCAAATAAAATATTCAGAAGTGACACTTCATCAGATGATTATGATTAGGTGTATCTTGCTTCAATAACCTGAATATAGAGTGATATGCCTTCCAAAAGTTTAAATCAATGGAAACTATTTTTTGAAGTTTTAATACTGAGCCAGATTTTTGCTGCTGTAAACTGATATATGCAGAAAGTAGATTTTCTGTTTGACTTTGTATGTGTTATGTTTGTTTCCTGCCATGCACCTGACAGCAGTTATTTAGTGATGTTATGAAATTTGCTGTGTACCCATGCCAGTATGTATTTGTAGCTGCTGGTGTTGTGCAAGTTGAGTATCTGATGTGACTGAGGTCCTCATTCTCAGTATTTTTTTTTCTGATTACATGAGTAGATTTTAATTTCTTAATTTGAGTGTTTTTCCTTTTTTGAAGTTCTGGTTACTACATTTTATGATATTGATATGGAAAGCAGCCATATTCTCATAAGATCTAAAAGTTTGTGATGATGGTATATTGCTACAAGTATTATGTTTTTGGACATTATCCATCGTCTTGTCTATTTTTTAAATCTATGCTGTTCCTTTTTCAAAACATAACATTTCAGAGACTGGATTCTGTCCCCATCCCCAGGTCCAGAGATAGGGGCTAGCTCTATCTATTAGACCCAACTGAGTAGGTTTTACCTGAGGACGGGGACAGAATCCAGTCTCTGAAATGTTATGTTTTGAAAAAGGAACAGCATAGATTTAAAAAATAGACAAGACGATGGATAATGTCCAAAAACATAATACTTGTAGCCATATTCTCAATGAAAAATGAGAGCTTGTGCTGCTTATTTAATGTAGTTCTGAAATAACATAGACAATTCAGCTGTTTACATCTGCTGACATTATGGATAGAAATGCTAAAAGCAGCATGTTCTTTGCACTTCTGGTGAAGCAAACATTTGTTCCAGTGAAGGGTTTCCCCCCCCCCCATGATTATAATGTCTCCTTTGTAGGAAACTAAATTAAGAAAATTTTGTCTTATGAGCAGATGAGTATGGTAATATGATGTTATATTTGGGTTCTTTACAGTTACAGAGAATTGGTGGCTTATGCACAGACTGCGAAAAACCAAACTTATATCTGTAAACCAGAAACTGGATGCCAAGGGAGAGGCATTTATATCACAAAACATATCACTGAAATTAAACCACATGATAAAATTGTTTGCCAGATTTATATTTCAAGGGTAAGTTCAGTCTTTGCCAAACATTAAATGTATAAAAAGTTTCCAATTAAGTTTATTTCAATCCAATGCAACATATAATGCCTTCACCACTTCAGCACTTAGTTACCTAACATGTTTCGATTCTTAATGAATCGTCATCGGAGGTATACCACTACAATGAGGACCCACCAACACGTAAATGTTTTTATAAGACTATATACACTTAAAACATTTATGATGCTCACTATATGTAGTTGTTAATTTTCCATTGTCAAAATAGATGTTTGACATAAACTTTTATAATAAGAACATTCTTGAAGTATATTACTTAGAAGTGACATAGTTGCAATCACTTCCATAAAGGATAGTTTAAAAATGTAATTTTCCACTGCACTGTATATAAAATTGAATTTGTTTCACCACAGCAGCCTTCCTTTACGTTAAAATTATATTATAAATGTGTGTGAAAACTTATTTTTAAGTTAAGAACTTTGTTCATGAACCAACATGGATTGTGTTTTATCTTCCTTGGTAGTGGATATTGTCGTCTTTCCCTCTTGGTGATGTGTTCTCTAAATATATTATTA